ACCGGGACCATCCCCCAGGAGCGGCCGGGGTGCCGGGGTCCCGGAGGGACCGGGACCATCCCCCAGGAGCGGCCGGGGTGCCGGGGTCCCGGAGGAGCCGCGGCCGTGCCCCGGGCGCGTCCCGGCGGGGCCGGGCGCGGAGCCCCCCGCGCTGCCCGGCTCCCGGAGCCCCGCGGCGCGCAGGGCGGGCTCGCAGCAGCTGATCCCCCGCAGCCTGGCCGAGAGCCGGCCCGCGGGCCCCGAGCGCGGCCCCAGGGTGCGCAGCCTGCTGGAGACCCCCCGGCCGGCCCCGGGCAGCGACCCCGAGGACGAGCCCGAGGGCGGCCCGGGCGCGCTGCGGCGCGGGCTGCGCTCCACGTCCTACCGCCGGGCCGTGGTCAGCGGCGTGGACCTGGACGGCTCCGCAGACTGCAAGAAGAAAAACAGAATGTCCCAGCCCATCCTGAAAGCGGTGGTTGAAGATAAGGAGAAGTTCTCCAGCCTGGGGAGGATAAAGGTGAGTGCGCTGATAGGTGAAGGGGCTGGCTCCGTGGGAGCGTGGCCTGCTGATCCTGCCTTTGCCATAAACGCTGGGAACTTTCAGTTTGGTTTTGTCCCAATGCAAAACTTTTCATAGTAACTGTGAGCTTTGAAAGTGCTGTTTTCCAAGTGAGGTGTTGGAGATGGCGGGCTCTGTTGAAATCCAGGCGGCTCAGAGCCTTTGCTGGCTGCCTCCTGCTCGCTGTTCCTGCTGGATTCTCCAGCTTTCACAACCGAACCAGGGGCTTAAAACCTGTGTCCCAGAAAGCAGTAAACAGGAAAAACATAAGGGACATTGTCTTGATAAAGTCTGCGTGCTAGAATAGAGACAGAAAAATGAACTTCCTCTCTCACTTCTCTGAGACAGTATTTTTAAAAATCACTGAGTACTTTTTAAATTGATAGAAATTACTTCAGGTATTTAAATGCCTGAAAGCAATTTTAATTTTTAATGCTTGAAAGTAAAAGCAGCATGCCTATTTATAAATCTTGGTTGTAATCCCTTAGAATCCTATAGTAGAGTTACATTGAATGTTAATGTATTCAATTATAGAGATATACTGATAGTGTTCTTTTACTTATCATACTGTAGTATTGGATTTCCTTATTTTAGATATAACTTGTTACTGTATGAAATGTGTTTGTAGATTTATGTGTAATAAAGTACATCAGGCCAAGAGTTGATGCTGTAGCTTTTAAAATAATTATCAGCTTTATGGCAGTTTTCAGCCAGTTTGAAATTATGGTAGTGGGTACTTCTGTGAAAACACTGCAAGGGTGAAATAGAAATTGATGAAATTGTGAACAGCTGCAGAGTGTGGTTTGGTTTGGTAGTAGACTTAAAGCAGTGTGTTGTGTTTAAGGTAGGAGGACATGAAACTGTGCTGTCCTTACGGAGTTCTCTGCAAGTAGTGTTTTATTAAATAGACTCTTGGGCCCTGGGACGTGTCGCACCAGAACAGCTGTTTGATCTCAGAGGTCTGTTGTGCTCTCAGAAGGCTCCTTGGCAAAGTGCTCGCAGTGGTTTTGTTTGCAGAGTGGAAGGGCAGCCTCCCAGAGCTGCACCTCCACAGACAGCCCTGGCACAGAGGGATGAGCTGTAGGTTCCCTGAACCCCTCTCAAGCCAGTGTAATGTGTTTTTGAAACACGTGGAAATACATCTAAACAAGGTATGAGAGAAATTAAACTAGGGTAGCTTTTCACTTTCTCTGATGACACAGTTGTTTTTAATGAACTCGTGTCCAACATACGAAGTTTACAGATTAGGGCCTGTTGGTTTGGTGCCCAAGTCTTGAGTAAAACAGACATTCTTGTTACTGTGATTATTTTGCATTCTCCTCCTTCTAACATAGCTCTCTTTTCTGTTAAAATTATCTGCAGAAGATGCTGAAAGGACAAGGGACGTTCGATGGAGAAGGTGAGCCCTGTTCTGTCCAGAGCTGTTAATAACTCCCAAGGGAAATGAACTTCAGGATCGTTTGGCACACTTCCTTTGTATGGACTCTCAGACTCAGTACCTTGTTTTTCAGTAATGCATCTGAGATGTGGGGCTATAATTTTGGCACTAGGCCTATTTTAGGGCTATTTTAAAGACTATGCAGTGGCAGGCTAAAAAGTGTGTCAAGGGCTTCTTTTCCACTTCAGCTGCTGTCCCTCCCAGCACGTGGGCTCTTGGCTGTGTTTGCCTCAGCCCTGACAGTTCCAAGGAGGTTTGCCTGCCTTCCTGCCTGTGTCTGGGGCTCTGCCCAGTGCAGGACATTTGCCCTCAGGGGTTTGTGCCATCCCTGCAGCACACACCAAATGGTTACCCTAGGCCGGGGTTCACAGAGCTGTTTCTGCCTTCTCATCAGCTCAGGGTGCTGGGCTGAACCCTTGGGCTCTGCAAGCATTTTCTTATCTTGCTACCTAGGCTTCAAATATAAGTGTCAGAAAAACACTGTCTGTGGAGTTGTATTTTTTGTATGTAGAGTTTGTATTTTTGTGTTACTCATTAATTCTGGGTTTTGCCAAGTTTGCTGCTTTTCCTGATACTTCAACAAGAAAACAGAACTTCTGTAGACCCATCATAGATGTTATAATAACTGCTACTCTTGGCTTTTCTCTGCTTAATGCCTGTTTGAGGTCATCTCAGCTGCTGTTATCTTCCTCTGTGTTTTCAGAGCTTCCCACTGTGTTCTCTTTGCATCATCCCTTGCCCTACTCTATTTTTATCTCTTCTCACACTATCTCCTCATGATGTTTTCTGGATTCCCTTCCAATGGTCCTGTCTGTCTTGGATGATCCCAGCTAATAACCTTCTCTGGAATGCCTCCCACAGTTCAGTTGCTGTGACAGTTTGCTCTGTTAAAAGTGTGGAACTCGACAGCCCTTCCCCAGGAGCTGCCCCAAAGGCACCCCAGGTCTGGGCAGGTGGGACAGACCCACCCAGCCAGGCGAGCTGGGGCCCTGCCTGGAGCAGCCAAACCTCCACCTCAGTTCCCCTCTCTCTTGTAGGGCAAGATTGCATCTTATCCAAAGCCTGGCCCATCTAAAAGTGCCCTTCAGAGCCTGCCTGCTTAGTGGCTTCGTTGCTCTGTGGGTTTTGTGGTGCTGAATTTCTGCCCTTGCTCGCTGCTGGTGCCAGGGCTGTGTGGCCAGGGAGGTGGGGAGAGCAGGAGTGCCCCACGCCCGTGTTCCTTTGCCACTGACAGTGCCAGCAGTGTGTTTGGTATTGGTTCACAGGGCTCGTGCTTCCTCAGGCTTTGAACTTTCTCTGTGCAATAGTTCTGATCTCAGGTCTCTGGAACTGGAAACAGTGGCATGTGAAGACAGCGTTCAGAGTTGACAGGAGAAGGGTTGCTGTGGGCAGCATGCTTTTCCTGGACATGAAAATAGTGAGACCTGCAGATCAGTGACTGCTCCACTGACACACAGCCCTGTTTTCTAATTGCTGGTTAATTACGGAACTGGGTACAGCAAACCAAGGAAGAAAAAATTGTTTGCTATTTTTTTTCTTGACAAAGGCCACATCTGTTCTTTAATTCGGTCTGGGAGGATCTTTGGGTACAGTGATCCATTGTCACTGTGCTGCACCATTGTCCAGCCCAAATCAGTTGCTATCTTTGTCTCGTGGAGCGTGAGCAGCACAGTGACACTTTGGTTTCTTTCATTGTTTAAATGTTACTTTAAATTTTTATGAGAGCGATGAGACTAACTTTCTAGCAATGACTGACATACCGTTGTTATTTGACAGAAAATGCTGTATTATATCAGAACTATAAGGAAAAAGCTCTGGACATAGATTCTGATGAAGAGTCAGAGCCCCAAGAGCAGAAGCTGGATGACAAGGTTGTTTTTCACTATAAGCCCCTGAGGTCGACGTGGAGCCAGCTCTCCGTGGTGAGTTGTGATCCTTGTATGGCCAGAGACAGCATCTCAGGGGGGTGAAGCACAGCTTCCCTTACTCGCTGCTGGAGTTTTTGGCTGAAGTTTGTCATCATCTTTTTCATCTCATAAGAACAACATGGGGGTCCCAGTCAGTTACTGGTCTTTGTTTCACATAAAAAACAATGAAACCAAGTTCATTTTAGTGTCCTGTATTTGGCAACGACACGACTTTACTGATTCATTATAAAGGGTTGTGTGAGTTCACTAAAAGGGTGAATTACACTAAAGAAAGGCTTCAGTTAGTTACAAACAAGTTGCTGCTCAATTGTTCTGAATCACTGCACACCAGCTCTTAGGCTGACTCGAGTGCAGATGTTTAATGGAAAGCATTTTGAGAAGTGCAGAGCAGAGCTGGTGGTGCTGTGCTGTCCCTTGCAGAGGCTGGGGGGTGTCTGCAGGGCTTTTCAGAGCAGCATCGTTAAAGTAAATTCAGCTGTTCTGGCCAGGGCTGCAGCCTCACTGCCTCCCCTGCTCATAACCTGACAAAATACTGATAACAGCTGCTACTGCCACAGCTCTTTCTCCTATGTGTGATTTTGGGACTGAAGGAACCATTGAAATTCTGTGTTTACATGGTTATTCCTGTGGCTTCTGGAGGGATACCCTGTCATGAAGGGTTTGGGGTTTTTTTTTGTTAATGTAACTTGTAGAATGTTGTAGATGCTCATCTTGGGCATTAGAGAGATTCTGCCTGACAAGATCACCTGGAGTATTTGACCATCAGCTCTGTATATCCCAATAAATGAGGGATTGAGCCTCAGGGAGATCCCCAAAATATCCCAGTAAATGAGGGATTGAGCCCCAGGGAGATCCCCAAAGGCTGGTTGGATTGGTCTGATTAGCAGAGCTGTCTTACAGATGCTGATGACCCTTTGCAGTTTAAAGTATTGAAAGATGAATCTCTCTGATTCAGCAAGTATAAAGATGGCAAGACAATGTGATTTTGTAAAGATGTGCTTTAATTTTCTTTTTCCAACAATCAAATACTTAAAATGCAGTTCATTGGCTTCATGTTTCAAAAAAAAAAAAAAAAAAAAAAAAAAAGTGTTTATAATGGAGTCAAATTGTTTTTTCTGCCTTCTGGGCAAACTAGCAGTTAAGTGTTCAACAGCTGAGGTATTTTGGAAGGAATGCTATTTAGTAATAATAATGATAATTTCAAAACACTAATTTGCTTTGAGACAAAAATAGCATGAAGACCATCTCGGGAGGAGAACTGTTCTATGCTGTGCCTTGCTTGCAGAAACCAACTTGTTCTGTACTGCTCCTCACACAGAAACTTTTGCACTGTCTGTATTTGATTTGCAAAATTGGAAGTGGGGAGTATATGGGAGAAGGTGCATGGAGAAACCAAAATCTGGGAATGTGAGACTCACAGTGACTGTGTTTATAACTCTGGAAGAATTACATGCTGTCAATGTGTATTAAGAAGTTAAAAAGCGAGTCTGGAGTTGTTGCAGGAAGTCGGCTGGAAAATGTCAGTGCTGGGTTTCACAGATGCTGGGGAAGGAGGAGGATGTGTGTGGTGTTCCTGCAGAGCCTGTGCTGGGGAAGGGGCAGAGGGTCCCTGGCCCTGCAGGACCTTCCCCAGCAGCTGCTGCAGCTCTGAGCTCTGGCCATGCTGTGCTGTGCTGCCCCTGGCTCTGGAGTGCCAAAGTCTTTGTGAGAGCAGTGATGAAAAGGCTGTTTCTGCCTTCCTGAAGGGGACTCACATGTTGGTTGTGACTGGTTTCTCATTCGTGGAAAAGTCAGCTGCTGTGAGTGGCTTTTGGGGCCACTCACGAGGTCCCTGTCCAGGGTCACTCGGGGTCCCTGTCCAGGGTCACTCGGGGTCCCTGTCCAGCGTCACTCATGGGGTCACTGATGGGGTCCCTGTCCAGGGTCCCTGTCCAGGGTCACTCGGGGTCCCTGTCCAGGGTCACTCATGGGGTCACTGATGGGGTCCCTGTCCGGGGTCACTCGGGGTCCCTGTCCAGGGCTGCCTCCCCCCCAGACCAGCCCAGGTCCCTGGTGTCTGTCTGGGCCCTCCAGGGCTGATGTCTGCACTGGCTCCCCTTTCTCTCTCTGTATCAGTGGGCTTGTGGTCACTTGGGCTTGTGGTAACTTTGGCTGTGGTGCAGCCACTTAGGAGGTTCCTGGGGAGTTCCCCCCTTCAGCACCTCCTTGTTTTGGAGGAACTTTTTGTCCCTGGTCACCTGTCCTCCTTTCATCCTTGCTTCTCACTCCGTGGTTGAATTGGTCATTGCTGGGGAGAAGCCAGTCCAGTGTGAGTAGCAGTGATGTTGGGCCTCTTCCATTCCTTCTGGGCACATTCTTAGCTTAAATGAAGTTTTTGTTTGCTTAGTATCACACATGTGACATTTTCTTATATTATTTCAGCTTAAACATTTTGGACGCGTCAAAACTAGATATTGCATTTTCTTTGGCAGAAATGGCCAGAGCAGTCTCCATAGCTGGGCCTGTGTCTTTTGGGAGTGTTGCTGGTGCTGGGGAGTGCAAGGCTGGGCCCTTGGCCTTGGGTTCACGTGCCATGAACTCATGTGTGCTCTGTGGGACACCCCCATGTGTGACAGCTCAGGCTGGAGCATGGATTAGCAGCTGCCCCTGGACCTGGCTGCACTCCAGCAGGGTCTGTGCTAGCAGGGAGCACTGAAATCTGGGGGTCTGTTTGTACCTATTTCCTGCATTGGCTTATTTTTAGAAAACTCTTCTGCTGCATCCAGAAAAAAGTTACATTGCACCTTTCAGGCCATTGCACTTCCTCAGGAATGCTCTGAAGCTTGCAGGCTCCTGATTAAAATGTACTTTGTTTAATAAAATGACATCTAATTAGATCTTGCTCAGCATCCAGAAGTGTCAGCTTGGGGTGCTGTGGGAATCTGGGCGTTGTGTTCCAAAGGTTAGTGGCTCCCACACTGGAATGCTGAAGTGACTTCCACAGGCATTTACCTGGGAGTCTGTCCTTTGGTGTGGCACCTCTTCATTCCTGCTGTCCAGCACTGTGGGGCCTGCTGTGCAGGAATAAAATGAGGAATAATACAGCCTTTAAAATTCCAGGGAGCAGGTAGAGCAAAAGAGAGAGCTGTTGGTGATAACAAGTCAGGAGCTTTTGGAGGAGGCTGGCAGAAATGGGTGGGAGCTCTTGTGTGTCTGATGTGCCTCTGCTGCACGTGTGTGATGCTGTGGCCCTTTCCCTTCCCTTGCCCGGCGTCCCTCCTCACCTGGGTTCTGTGTTTAGAACAACACTGGCTCTCCTTGGCGCTTTGCTTTCCAGGTGTTCTAGTCCTGTCTCTCTTTTAATCACATTTCCCCACAAAAGGTATTAAAAATATCTCTGCTTTGTCTTTGCAGGTGAAGAAGAATGGCCTGTCAGAAGGCATCAGCCAGGAGGAAAGGAAGAGACAGGAGGTACTCCGTGCCCTGACTGCTCAGGGCTGCAGCCTGGCTCTGTGCTCTGCTTTTGATAAGGAGATGCTGATAAGAGTTCAGTGCCTGGCTTCCTGCCCTCCATGAAGTGTCCTCTCTGCCCATGGAGAGAGAACGACCCCAGTCGGTGCTGAGGTGCCTGTGTCCATGCCAGGGGCTCCAGCCTGGCAGCAGCAGGGTCGTGCTGTGCCAGGGAAGAGGTGCCATGAGCTCCAGCTCACGGAGGGGGACTGGCACAGGGTTTTTATAGCAGGGAGGAGCCAGGAGCAGCTGTCACGGCTCCCTGGGCTGTCCCAGGTGCTGGTGCTGTGCCTGCTGGAGCCCAGCTGGCCCCGGGGCAGGGCAGGGCAGGGCAGAGCCTCCCTGCTGCCAGCAGCTCCCTCAAGGGCTGCCTGGCTGCTCTGTGCCTTTGCCTCTGCTCCTCGCGTCCTGTTCCTCCTCTCTCCTCCTCCCCGTCCATCTGCTGTGCCCTCCTGGCTGCGGGGCAGTGCCAGGGGCTGGGAGCTGGCCAGGGCAGCTGGGTCCTGCAGCTCCTCCCGGCTGTGCCCTTCCCTCCACAGCAGGCAGGACCTGCCCAGGAGCCCTGCAGCCTTACTGCCGTGCCACTCTGCCCAGTGTCTTCCTTCCTCCTCGGGGCTCCCTCAGCTCCTCCTGCTGGGAAGCAGGATTTGAGTCCAGGCATAGATTTCAGTGATGTCCTGTAGGAGCCATTAGTCTGTGTTTCCTGGAGCCATACTTGCATCCTTTCAAAAGGAACAAGTTCTTTGGATTCATTTTAAATGTAAAGTCTTCAATGTTACCAAAAATGCTTTCATGCCTGAGGGTTTTTAACTTGAGTTTTAGAGGCCAATTCTTTCAGTGGGAACCTAAATAAATGTTTTTAGGCTGCAGTTACATTCATGCTTTTGCAGTATTTCCTTTAAACTACTTTTTATTGTTTATTCTTTATATGTTCTTTAAATTGCTTTTTAGAGCCTATTAGATTATTTTATAGTTACATACATTGTCATTGCAGAAAATTATGTTTGTTTGTCTTCTGCCTTGATTAATGCCCATGTCCTATCTTCATACACATCCCATCTTTCAGAATCTGTTAGTGAAATGGATCTCTGTGCATATTTTGGCTAAAGAGAACGGGTCACAGGCTGGTTTGAGCTAAAATTATTTTCAGAAAGTCTTTCCTTGCAAGCCTGAGCTGCCTGTGTGTGTGTGTGCCCTGGGAGTGAGCTGTCCCTGGGCTCACAGCCCTGGCCCTGCTCCTGTGCAGGTGAACCCAACCCAGCCCAGGAGTGCCCAGCAGGCACCAGGGAGCTGCCCCAGCCCCAGGTGTGCCAGGAGCCTCCTGTGCTTTGTGTTCCCCAGAGTTTGGGTCATGGGGGGGTGATTCTCCCTGCCTTGCACATCAGAAGCAAAGTGCCTGCCCCTTCCTGCCTGTGCTGAGGATTTGTTCCCAATTTTCCCTGCCTTGCACATCAGAAGCAAAGTGCCTGCCCCTTCCTGCCTGTGCTGAGGATTTGTTCCCAGGCTGGGCAGAGCTGCAGCAGGGCTCAGCCTGCTCCCTCCAGCCTCACTCTGTGCTCTTGGGCTCACACCTGCTGCTGAATTCTCTTCAGTCTCCTGCCTTGCAATTGCATTGAAAACTCTGAATATGGACTTCTCAAAAAAGACTTTTTTTCTAGTATTAGATCACTTATTTCTAATTAATGATGCAACTATTATAGAGATGAATATTTAAGTCATAATCTCTAGCTTACATCCAAAACTTTGCTTTGCACCCTGCTCAACATTTTCTTTTTTTTTAAGGAAAAAAGCCCAATCACTAGTAAGTCTCTTCTTTTCCCCCTTCAATTTGCAGGCAATATTTGAGGTGATATCTTCTGAGCACTCCTATTTGCTGAGCTTGGAGATTCTGATCCGGATGTTTAAAAATTCCAGGGAGCTGAGCCTCACAATGACCAAAACAGAGAGCCACCACCTCTTCTCCAACATCACAGATGTTTATGAAGCAAGCAAAAAGTGAGTGTGGCATTTCTGCATTGAACAGACCCGTGCGTCCTTAAACACAGCAGCAGGTTTCTTTTTGGAACTGAGCTCACCATTTTAGTGATGAGCATTTCTTCCAAAACTCTGCTGCTGTGGAGGCGGGAGGTGCGAGTGGCAGAGATGTGCACAGGAGGGAGGGGGGCTGGCCTGGCACTTGTGTCTCTGAGAATGGAGAGGGAAGGAAAGCACAGAGTGAGTCGCAGTGGAAATCAGCATCCCCCAAATCGAAACAGTTCTGGGCTAAACGCAGACCAGGAGGCAGACCTGGTCCTTGCAGGGCGTCAGGTGAAGCTCAGCCTGCCCTGCTGAGCTCTGAGATTGGAGCTGGAGCTCCACACTTGCCCTGGAGAGCTCCTGGTGCCAGCTGCTGCAGAGGTGCTGTCCTGGGGCTGCCACCCCTGTGTGAGCACAGGGCCTGGCTCTGCTGCCACGGGGATCAGCTCTGCCCTGCTGCTGCCTTTGGGCACATTCCTCCAGTCTGCAGCGGGAGCAAATGAAACCAGACACGTACAGAGAGTGCCTGAAGAGGAGGAAATGGCAGATCTTGCATGATACAAGTGCAGAACAGTCTGGTTCCTGGCAGTAATTACTGCCAGTGTTATTTAATCCAGGGCATGCATATGTATGTACTCTCAGAGTACTTCACACTCCTCAAAAAGTTCCAGGATGTGGCTTTGCTTCCTTGCAGTTTTGCTCTGCAGCAGGTGGATTATGTGTTCCACATTACTGAAGCACCGAAGTGTCTGGGTTGCTTTTCTTGTCCCTGATCTGCTCTCTGCAGTGAGCACAGGGCTGCAGGGGGCTGTGCTGGTGAAGGTGCTGGGTGGCCACAGCTGCAGCTCTGTACAGCTTTACATGGATCTCTTTACCTGTGGAACAGAGAAATTTCAGAAGGAGAGCTGGAGGTTTAACAAGGATTCTGAATGTTTTTTTTTATTTTGTTCCCCCTTTTGTCCCCTTTGTAGAAATTGCAAACTTGTGAATTCTTTAGCATGAAACCCTCATTTACCTTTGGTGGAACTTGTGAAGGTCCATGTTCCAAGACACAGTAAAGTCATTTATTTTTTTTTTTCTCTGAGACACCACAAAGTCTGTGGAATTTGACATCTGTTGTGGAGCAGTTTGACTTTTGTCTTCTGAAGTTCATGCAGCAGCAAGATCTTGGTTTTTGGAGGCTGATGTGCTGTGTTGAGTGCAAACCCAGCTGAGGAGCTGCAGAGCAGGAGAAGGTTTGGGTTTGGCTGGGTCCCTTCCTTTCTCCCTCTTTGTCCTGTGCTTCTGCCAGGGTTGGGAGTTGTGTGGCCCAGGACCCCCCAGTCTGGTGGCACTGGTGTCAGGGAGTAAGCAGCTCATCAAAGGCTTTATTTTCAAAGAAAAGTTCCTTTTTCAGGTGCTCCTTACACAAAGTGTGAGGAGTAAAGGTAAAGGACAATGGGGATGGGAAGAGCAGTGCTCTTAGGGGAACTCTAACTTCTCTTTTGATTAATAGTCTTCAAAGGAAGTGGGAGGGAGAGGAAAAAAGAAGAATGGAAAAATACCACACTAGCCTAGAATTAGTCTTATTCTTTCTTATCTGTGAAGTCTCATGGTTTAAGAACTTGGTTTTTTATGACTTGGGGTAAAATCAGAAGTCATAACTCCTTTTTAATCTTAAATGAAAACAATTTATTTCCCAAGTTTTGCAATACTGTCAAACTAAACCAAAGCTTTGTGCTGGCTTTGAGCAATGTCATTTGTGTGAACAATGGAAACAATTTTAAACCAGATACCAGCTTGGTATCTCCAAGCTGTTGCTTTCTGTTTTCAAGGTGTTTCAAAGCAGCAAAATCCACCCTTTTGTTATAAAGGGGAGCATCTGTCCCATTCTGCTGGTTTTTAAGCAGCCTTTGCTTAGTGCAAAACCTGAGTGTGAGTGTAGTTGCCAGTGGTTTTGGTTGCTTGGACAAAGGTTTGGTGAGCTGAAGAACCAGAGCTGACAAAAATATTTCATACAAACCTTCAGTCAAAACTGCTTTAGCCTCTGTCTAGGAACTTGGACTTGGCACGTGTTTAATGGAAAGTCTCCAGTAACACCAGGATGGGCCTGCAGTGGCTGACAGGGCCGTGCCTGGGGGAACAAAGCTGCCTTTGTTGCAGGCAGAATGCAGAAAGCAGAGACTGTCTCTGCTTCTGGGAGCTCCTGGAATGTCTGGCACAGGGCAGGGGAGAGGAATGACCTGTGCAGCACATGCTGCTTTGTCCTGGGAACCTCCTGGCAGTGGCTGCAGGGAGCTGCAGCTCCCTGGCCCCTGTGTGCTGTGCAGGGCACAGGTGCTGGGACCAAACCCTCCCTGCGACACCAGAGCAGCATTATCAGGAAAAGATCCTGACAGAACCACTTTGACAGATTCTGTCTGGTTTAAACACTGTGTTAGTCACAGAATCACAGGGTGTGAGCACTCTGCTTGTGGTGGGTTCATGACTTGTCAAAACCATTCCCGTGTCCCTGTCCCGGTGGTTCCCGTGTCCCTGTCCCGGTGGTTCCCGTGTCCCTGTCCCGGTGATTCCCATGTCCCTGTCCCATGTCCCTGCTCCCCCTCCCTCCTATGGGCTGGGAGCCTGCAGGGTTGGGTGGTACATTTGTGTGTGGAGCTGTGTGTTGGTTTCCATTATTGAGATGGGAATTCACCAAACAAACTGATTTCAGTTCTGCACTTTAATCACCCTCTCTCAGCCTTTTAAAATTTTTTTTGTAAAAACTAATTTTGATTCAGCATAAAAGTGCTGTGGAAATAAGACTATTTTTCCTATTTTTGCTGTTTTAAATCCCCCTCCCCTTCCCTAAATAACAATAATGTTGCAGATATTCAGCTTCTGTTGCTGATGAGAAGGTTCAGATTTGGAAAGGTTAATCAGAAATCTTTGTTACTTCTGGCTGAAGTTATCTCAGGGTGGCAGATGTTCCTTCAGTGCCCCTGTGTCCAGGGGCAAGAGGCTGAATTCTGCTTGCTGCCCCTCCAGCGCTTTCTGTCCCTGGTGCTGCCAGCAGCACCCTGAGCTAAACCTGCATTTCTGAGTTTGGCCCTCAGGAGTGTTGCAGAGTGGATGGTTCTTTCAAACAGTGTAAGGGCAAGATGAGAGAAGTCAAATTCTGTCCTACAATGCTGTTTGACTTTCTCTGAATTGGATCAAACTTTAACCGGAAAAGTCCTGAATTTAACAAAGAGATGTTTGAAGTAAATCCTTCTGACATTCAGCAAAAATAGCTGCACACATCACAGCAAATTCCTTGTTGGTTAAATTGAATGGAATCGTTCCATCCCTCAGTCCTGAGCTTTATGGCAGAATCTGTCCTAAAATTGCAAGGGTTTATGATGTGTCTGGTTCACTGATTTATCTAATAATTAGCAGATTAGATATGGAAAACTACAGCTTTTGATTCAAACTTTGATGCAGGATTTTTTTATGGGACATATTGGGAGATGGGACTTTGACATACTACTCCTCTTTGTCCCTCTTTTCCCTTTTTTCTTTTCTTTTTTTCTGTCTTCTGCTCTCTGAGATTTTACCAGTCTTACAGTGAGTGTCTCTGGTGATGTCACTGACGAAGCACCAGATAAATTGTAAAGGTGGAAGTTGTGGCCCAGCAGGGTCCAACACCTTGTCAGTGTGCCATAGCACAGCAGGAAACGTTGGATTTCCTCATTTCCTGAGCAGAGGGAATTGGCAGCAGTGGGAGGTTCTCCCAGCCATAAACTGGTCTGAGCAGAGAGAAACAAGCCCCAGTGTGGGATGGGGCTCTGCTGTGCCTCCTGGGACACTGCAGAGCCCACACTTGCAGGCTCTTTTCTCTGTGATTGTATTGTTTGTGTGTGCCTTGGGGCTGGCACCAGACCCGAATGAGAGCACAGGGGCAGTGCTGGCAGCTCAGGGTGTGCTGTGCCCTGGAGGAGGCTCGTGGGGACAGGAGCTGCTGGGCTCTGCCTGCAGCACTGGCAGGGCTCTAACAAATCCTGCTCAGCACTTGCAGGCAGAGCTGCTCACCAGCCAGGGCCTCTGCAGTTACTGGGTCAGAGCTTCACAAAAAGCCCAAATCCAGACCAGAATCCCCCTGACTGAGCCAGTGAGAGCCTGGCAGCCACTCGGAGCAGCAGCTGCTGCAAGCACACCTGGAGAGTGCCCGAGTTGAGTTCAGCCCTGCTGCTGCACCATCAGCTGCTGCTCATCCTCTTCTGCTCCTCTCACGTGCTTGAGGCGTGTTCCTAAAGCAAACTTGAGAGCGTCACTTGGAAAAGGTGGCAGATTTGAAGAGCCACTGTTAGTGATATAAAAATTGAATAAAGGACTGAGATTAAATAAAGCAGATTTCAAAATATTAGAGCTTAATGTGAGCTCATGTGTTCTAAGTGTTTCCTTAATGTTTTCTGTGCTGTATGAGAATTTTTTATGAACTTGTTGACTCCAGGGAGTTGAGGATTCTTGCAGTGAAGGCTGATGTACAAAGGCTTCAGCCAGGACAGCTTTTCCTGTGTGGGGGGTGAGCTGCAGAACTGATCTGTGAACTGTTCCACCCCAGGCCGTGGGGGATTTCCAGTGAGCACCATGGAAATCAAGGCTTGTGCAGAAAGCAGTGGGAGGCTCCCAGTGCCAGGAACTCACACGTGGGGCAGGGACAGACAGCGGGAAAGTTGTCAGGATGGTCAGGGGGAGAGCCAGCTCAGGGTTTGGGTTCTGTGCCCGTTTGCAGTGTTTCCAGAGGGCTGCAGGATGTGGAGTGCCCTGTCCTGCTCCACCGGCACGAGGCTTTGTCCTTGGCCCAGCAGCCACACACAGCTGAACTCCATGGAGCACTTCTGCTGCCGTGCTGCCTTAATTGCAAGAGGAAATGTGTTAATGCGTGTATGGAGTAGTTTCATTTCTTCCCCAGCCCCGTTTCTGGAAATTCTGGTCTGACCAGCTCAGTGATGCTGTGTGGTCGTGGCAGTGGGAGAGTGGGAAGTGCCTGGGAGGTGGCAGGGGCCAGGAGCAGCCCTGGGCCCGTGTCCTGCCAGCTGTGCCCTCGCTGCCCTGCCAGAGGAGGGGTGGCCTCGCCTGCCAGCACCAGCCCAGCTGGCCTGGGTTGGTGGCCGGGTTGTGTCAGGGGAGCGTTGTGAGAGGAAGGTGCTGTTTGCACATAGAAATCAGCAATTGATTTTCATTTTTAACCCCCCAGGTTCTTTGAAGAGCTCGAGGCGAGGCACCAGAACAACATTTTCATCGACGACATCAGCGACATCGTGGCGAGGCACGCGGGCTGCACCTTCGACCCCTACGTGAAGTACTGCAGCAACGAGGTGTACCAGCAACGCACCCTGCAGAGGCTGCTGTGAGCAGAGCAGGGCTGGGCTGGGCTGGGCTGGGCTG